CCTGGGATGGGGCACAGCAGGCTGGAACATCAGGCCAAGCCCGGCAGCCCGCCCTGCGGATGGACTGTAGCGGGTGCAAGGCTGTGCTGCGTGGCTGGTTCCCCTGGTAGGGATGCTCTCTAGTTGCATCAGGAACTGGCCGTGTTCCCCTGCGTTGTGCTTCAGTTGGCGAGGCAGAGGCGTAAGTCTTGAATGTGCAGATTGAGGAGGTCTGGCTCCAGCTGCAGTCTGCCTCCTGATCCATAACCCTGGGTGCAGCCGGCTGGATGTGGACGCGGGAGCCCCATCAGTCCCCATGGGGACTGATGATGTGATCTCTTGCCACGTAAGCCTTGCCACGTAAGGAATTGTGCAGTAGGAGAGAAGAAATTTGAGGAGCCTGCAGTTTGCAGGTTTGGTTTTTTTGGGATATATGATAGGCCTTTAATGAAATGCTGCTGGGGCTTGTTCTTCTTCCTGGTCCTGTTGGTGACAAAGTGATGCTGCTCAGTGGCTGGCAATTCGAGGGCTCCATCCTCATTTGGACTTCTTGCTTTTCCTGACCTATACCATGAGAAGCTCCAGTGAAGGAAAAACATCCTGCCCAGGGATATTGGCAAAGGGAATGAGGTTCTAACAAGCAAATAAAAAAGCCTGCATATACTGTGTGCTGTGAAAATGCTGGTATTCGTGGTTCCCTTTCAGGAGGTGGTATCAGTCCACCATACACCTCAGCATTGTGTTATTATTTGGGTCTGCTCCATCTTTCATAACCATTGGCTTGTGTTGGCATTTACTGCTTTATGCTGATAAATAAAATGCTGCGTTTAGGGGTGGAGAGAGGGATGGTCAGTCCAACTGAAATACATGATAAGGTGTTTATTTTTTTAAAACTAAGGCACATCACCCATTTTCTGCTGCTCTGTCAGTGCTTGCCTTGAAATGGGGGTCTTACAGAGATGCATTCAAAGGGGAGGAACTGTAGCTGCAAGGTCTGGTTTGCCAATGGTTTTTAGTATCAACCTTTATGCGAACAGCACCATACTGCTCCTGTAAGCCCTGCTTTTGCAGGGTACCAAGGCACTTATTTTTACAGAGAGGATGCATTTATCTTGCTGAAGGTCACATGAAAATGCACGGGGCTGTTCTTTACTTGTTGCTACCTTGAAAGCAAAACACGCCTGAAAGGAGATGATATTGTCAACTAGCGCTGGGAAGCTAAGCCCAGACTTGCCCCACGTAAGTGTAGATGCTCAGCAAAGGCGTCGAAGCTAGAAACTTAGTTGTCGAAGCTCTATTGACTTTTCGGCAAGATAGTTTTTAGGTGGGCTGTGTTGCTCTCTGGAGATGTCCCGTTTCCAGTGATTTCAGATGGAGCCGGGAGGGACAGTGCTCCTAATGCTAAATAGTTAAGAGCTCGCTGGGCTGAATCTGGACTTAATGAATCCTGTACTTTAGTAAAATTTCAAGCAAGTACAGCAAAGTATTTCAGAAACTGTAAGGGAACCCAGCATTACAAACAGTCCTTGGGAGGGCAGCGGTCAACGGGGAACCCACAAACATGAAGCACCCGATTTAAAATCACATGCTGAGTGGGGGCATGGTGTGGACTAAGCTCCTGGTTCCCAGCTCTCTCTTCTAGCTGCCGGCCCATGTTCCCCGTCTGCTTTTCTCCAGCACGGAAACCTGTTTGCTCTGAATGTATGGTTTTATTTGTTTACTTATTTATTTACTCTTTCTTCTCTAGGCTTCTGGGCCGATCGAACACCAGTTCATGAAGCAGCCAGGCGGGGAGAAATCCTGCAGCTGCAGCAGCTGATAGAGAGCGGAGCCTGCGTCAACGCGGTCACCTATGACTCTATCACCCCGTTGCACGAGGCGAGCCTGCGAGGGCAAACGCAGTGTGTCAAGCTCCTGCTGGCTGCAGGGGCCCAGGTGTGTGTTCGGGTCTGATCCGGCTGGGAACATCATCTTGATGTCTGAAGTTATTTTTGGGATCTGGATTCTCCCCATCTAGTTCTAGGCTCTTCTTCATCACCCTGGGCTTTCTTGAGAGTCAGTAGAAGATGGCAGGCATCTTCAGAGGGTGTTTGAGCTTGATGAGGACTTAAAAAACTGTGTGGAAGTATTTCTCTCTCTGTCTCTCCACCTCTCTCCTCGCTGACTATCAACAGAGCCCGGGGTGACTAGAAATCTAATTTAGATGACCCTTTGTATCTAAAGCTAGCTGGGTTGAATCAAGGGGTCAGAAGGGGACAAGGGGACATGTAGCTTCCAGAAGGGATTTATATTTATCCTTTTGTTTCTCCTTCTATTTCTTTAATTTTATTATGGAAACAAAAATCAGTTAAACAGAGTCTTTGGATATAGCTGGCGACGACTGTCTTCAACGGCTTGTGACTTCTCACTCGCTGAAGACAGCTGTCCTCGGAGCAAAGCCGATGAAGTGGAGCATGCGTGCGCTCCGCGGTCCTTCTCAGTGCAAAGTCAGCCAGCTTGGCTGAGTCCGCTGGTGAAGCTGAGCATTGCACTAAAGCAGACGAGGAATTGCGTTGTGTTATTCAGCTGCAACGCTTGTAACCTTCAGCAGGAAAGCAGTAGAAAAATACAACGATGGAAATAACAGCCTAAACTTGTGACATTAATGTACGTCTGTGCCCTGAGTGATGGGAACAGTGCGAGCCAGGTTGCTGGCTGTAGCAACCAACTCTTTTCCTGAGTCCAGACTATTTCTGGAGTTAAAAGAAGTGAAAACATAGGCAAGAGGGTACTGTCACACAGCAGCCTGTGGGTACCTAACATTTTTTTTCTACCTTGAAGGTGGATGCCAGGAATATCGACGGCAGCACTCCGCTCTGCGATGCCTGTGCCTCGGGTAGCATAGAGTGTGTGAAAGTGCTGCTGTCCCACGGAGCCAAGGTGAACCCTCCCCTTTACACAGCGTCTCCTCTCCACGAAGCCTGCATGAATGGTAAGCCCACGTGGTCTTATCTTTGCATGGTTATTTGCAGCTTGGGAAAAAAACCAAGAAAAACAGCTGCCAAGTATCTTAAATTGACCGTAAGCTGTTGTTGCTCATCAGACCATTACAGCTTGCAAATATATCAGCCTTACATGGGCACAGCTCCCTTTGAACGCAGAAAGCAAAGCACTGTGATATCAGATGAATAAAGCCATCCCTTGTGTTGGCTGCTTTTATCCCACATGACGGACATGGGATAAGATGTTAGGCAGATAAAGCACCAGCTTGTTGATGCTCTATTAGAAAACCTTGAGCCAAACCAGTAGCTTTGCTCTTGCGAGCAGAGGGGAGTTTGCATCCTTTCCCTCTGATCCAGGTTGAGATGGGATACATTTTTCTGATTAAGACACGAGACCATCTTAATCAGGTGGTCCTGTCCCAGATCCCTCCTGAGGGGGTTGTTCAGAGCTGACGGATGAAGCTGTCAGGTGGGAAGAAAGTGGCAGGGACTGTTGGGCAGCCTTGCTGCCTGTACTGCTCCTTGTCCCTCTCTCAGCCTTTTCCAGTGAAGGGTCTGTCCAGGGGATAAGAGAAAACTACAGGGGCCGAAATAATGTTCCAGCTGGCACATGTCAGCTGCTCTCTGCTCCCCCTGTCCTCTACTCAAGCCTCTCCTGGCTGTTTGGATCTGGGTTATGGAGCAAGAGCAAGTATCAGGGGTGGCTGTGACAGCAGCAAAGGCGGGGAGAGCGGCAGAGGGAGATTTGAGTCTAATTCCAACCTTTTTCAATAGCAGGAAAGCCAGGATGTGAGGGCAGCAATGTTCCCATTAGATGATCATGACCGAATCTCTTAATAATTTTGTGTCTCAGTTTCCTCTTTATAAGATGTAATACCTCCTCTCTCATCCCCTTCACTGTTCTTGTTATATGCTGTCCTGGACAGAGTTTCCCTTCAACTATGAAGGCTGTGGGAGACAGCATTTTTGATAAACAGGTAGTTACTTAAATACGAAGCTGTGAGCTCTTGCTTAGCTTTTCCTTGTTAAGCCTTTTTCCTAAGGCTCGTTGATGATGATGGCCCGCTTTCTGTTAAGTTGTATTATTAGCATTGGAAAAAGTAAAGCTGGAGTGGTCTTGAAGGTCATCTAATCCACCCAGGGCAGGATCAGCAATACAACCAGCTCCATGAACAACAGGTAATTTAGTGTAAACCCTTGAATTCAGGTTTGTTTGACCTGACTCCCTGCGAGACCTGTTAGCTCTAGTTCAGTGCTGTGCAGATGTGACTCTATTTCTTGTGCCCTGGTCTCAGTCTTGATCCTACAGCGTATTGTGTTGGTTCACAAGCATTTCTATTTTGCGTCCCCAAAATTTGTCACCCCAAATATTGAACCGGCTGTTTGTGGGTCAAGCTGATCTCAGCATGCCATATGCTCCCGTTTGAGCTGGATTCTGTCTTTTGACTCAGATCCTCCCTTTCTAAAGGTAGCTCAGAGTGCGTGCAACTCCTCATTGAGGTCGGTGCAAACTTGGAGGCTCACGACTGCCATTTCGGGACGCCCCTACACGTGGCCTGTGCCAGGGAGCATCTGGACTGCGCAAAGTTGCTGCTCAAGGCAGGTATGGCAGTCACAGGCTTTGCTTCTGGGTGGGCAGGAGGTGGTGGTGTCTCTGCACAGCGTTTCCCTCGGTGTTCCGCAGCGGCGTTCTTGTCGAAGAGCTTATTCATTCACAGCATAATATAGATGACAAAGGTGAAAGGTTTTCCTTTACCTGAGCAAAGCTTAATGCTTAAGCATTTTTTCAGCGTATGCTTGTCAATATCCAGTTTGTGATGTTCCCAGTGACATTCCCATTCTCTTATTTTAATAAAATTCAGAACTCTTCAGCCCCCTAGAACAAAGTTTCAACTTCTTCCGAAAAATGGTATCAACTGGTAGGCATGCATTCTGCTTTGGTAGCACAGTCGGTTTTGGATAGGTGTTCGGGATAGATGTTAGGGTTTGATGCTGTACAGAAAACTAGTGATGAAGTCACTTCATACATCAGGGAGATCTGGTTAGTGTTATGCCCAGGTGAGTTTGCTAGATGTTCAAGTCAACATTCTGTGCTTGGTTTCACATCCCAGTTTTCTTGCTGCTAACTTTGGAGGAATTTGGAGTTGGACTTCTTGTCTTTGCCTGTGCTTACCAGGAGGAGGTTTGGCCCGGGGGTGGGGATTTGTTTTATTGAACATTAGTTGTCTAAAAATTACACATCTAAGCTAGTTTCTTTCCAACCGCTCCGGTTCCCATCTTGGGCACACATTACTTGATTCCCCAGAAATGCCTGTTTCTCCTTGTTAATTATAAGGGCAGTTCAGTGTGGTGACACATATCTAAAAGACAGTTGTTTGAATTCAGTGAGGTTCAATCTCACCTCTGCTGAGCAAGTCAGTTGATAAAATGCAGGCAGTTGTGGGGGAATTGGAAGGACCTTTTGCTGTCAGCTTATAAAAGCCAAACTTTCTTAGCAAAAATATTTGTTACTAAAACTTGATGCTGCAGTAGTGTCTGATGGTGAGCTGCCACATCTCATGGGTCTAGGGTATTTCTGTTAGCAAAGATGTCACTGTTTGTCTTGAGTGGGAGCACTTCATTGAGATGACTGGGAAGCAATTCTGAATGTCACACTCAGCTTATTTACCCAGTAACATGGATTAAAATCCTTTCTCTGCAAGGAAAACATAAAGCCAGAGAAGAAAACTCATGCGCTGCCAGCATCGAGAACTTGTTCAGCAGTTTGGTTTCCTGTTTGTGCTGTTTTGTTTGGATCTTGTTCTAGCTGCTCATGCATGTTTTAACAGCATTTTTTTCTCCAGTCAAACCACTCCTTACGTTTGGGTCAAGTGAGGCTTTCATGAACACGTTTGTTTTTCTTTCTGGTCTCAGGGGCAAATGTGAATGCTGCTAAACTTCACGAGACAGCCCTCCATCACGCAGCAAAAGTGAAAAACGTAGATCTGGTGGAGATGCTGATTGAATTTGGAGGAAACATTTATGCAAGGGACAACCGAGGAAAGAAGCCATCGGATTACACCTGGAGCAGTAGTCCCACAGCAAAGTGCTTTGAGTACTATGAAAGTAAGTGAGATATGATCCCCTGCCCCAGGAATTCAGTGACTGCCAACTCCATTGCACCACATCGTGATTCTCAGTCCACTTTAATTTGTAGATCCCTGATCATCTTCCTGTGAAGGTATAGAGTTCTTGGTGGCAAATGTATGCCAGCTGGCTGTAGGCTAGCTCTGCTTAATTGTGGTTGAATGACAGTGGTAAGATGGTTCAAATCATGCCCTCGCTGAATTCAGGTCCCTCTCGTGTCAGCATCAGCGTTTATGCTTTGGTGCATTAAGTCAGGACAAGGAAATCGCCCAGTTGAAAACTCATTTTATTTGGGGCAGGGAACGTGTTAAACTTTAGCTGCACTGGCTATCTGATTTTGGAGGAGACATTTAACTGAGGTTTGAGGATGGCTTTAAGGGAATCTTTGTCTTGGTTACCCTTAGAGGAGTAATTCACAGACCTTTCCAAGCATTTGCAGACTGCTTCTGCACTAGATGATCCTAAACATCATAGAATCACAGAATGGTTTGGGTTGGAAGGGACCTTTAAAGACCATCTAGTCCCATCCCCCCGCCATGGTCAGGGACATCTTGCACTAGATCAGGTTGCTCAGAGCCCCGTCCAACCTGACCTTGAACACTTCCAGTGATGGGGCATCCACAACTTTTCTGGGCAACCTGTTCCACTGTCTCAGCACCCTGATCATAAAAAAATTCTTCTGTATAGAAAGAAAAAATTCTTCCTTATAGAAGAATAAAGTATTTTCTGGCTTTGCAATCCTTTGTGTGGTGAGCACCTTATAGCCCCTTCTCCCTCTGACTTCTCCCTGTACAGTCTCTCCTCCAAGTTATTCATTGCTCTCTTTTCTTAGAGAACAGTGAAGTGTGCTGGTCTGGCTGCAGCTGAGCTGGCTGAAGAGATTGAATCCTACATGCCCATAAATACTCCTCATATCTCGCCAGAGTTTACTGCCCACTAAACCCAGCTGTCAGAACTGCACGTGTAGTTGCTTTTCGACACAGGACTGTTGTAACAGTACTGTGCTAGCTTTAATAGTATTTTTTTTCCTTTTGATTTGTATCATTAAATTTGGGACTAGATCCAGAACGGATGCAGATCTTGGAGGCTGGTGATTGCAGAGGCTGTGGGGGTAGGGATAGCAGCTTCTTAGGACTGACTACTTCCAGAGCAATGTGCCCGATTGTAACTCTGCATCCATGCATGAGCATCAACACCCGATGTCGAGGCTGCAGGCTGCAGATTGGGGGCTGTCTGGAAGGGGCTTGGGGAATTTTATTGGAGCTCTCAGCAGAGTGCTGAGAAAAAACGCAGTCCTTAGATGGAGAAACGGAGCGGTAGAGAAATGTTGGAAGTAGGTTTTGTCCCTATATACAGTGTTATTGAGTTTTAATACAGCATTGCTAAGGGAAATCTGAAAGTCTTGGATAGCCTCAGTGGATCAGAGCAGGTGATCCAGTGGGCACCGTTGGCCTTTGGGGGATGCAGGCGAGGAAGGGAGCAGGGACAAGCACGCTGCAGCTGTGCTCACTGTTTGTGGTGGATTTGCATCGGGATGAGCTTGAGAGAGCACGCCCGTGGTTCTGCAGTACCTTCCTTGGGCCCGGGTGCTGTGGGAGGTCGAGCGCTCGTAAGCAGAGCCAGGCTTGTGATCACGGTGGGGCGATGCCAGGCATCACCCTCCTGGGAGGTCTGTGCTCTGCGGGAAGATCAGCCGTCTGCTGAGCTGCAGCCCTAACTTTGGATCCTCTTTTCTCGTTTTAGAAACGCCTCTGAGTTTGTCGCAGCTTTGCAGAGTTACAGTGAGGAAAGCTGCCGGGCAGCGAGCACTGGAGAAGATTTCCAAGCTAAATATTCCTCCGCGATTAATCCAGTACCTGTCCTACAACTGACAGGGGCGAAGGTGGCCGGGAAGGACGATATCTTTAGTTCCCGCATTATGAAGTATCTGTCTTTTTCTCTTCTACCTCCCTCCAAGAAACTAATTTTAATTTAAGCAAACTGATGTAAATAGTATTTATGAGGCAGCACTTCCTCTTCTCTGTGGGCAAAGACAGGCTCAGGCGACGTGTAGCACTGGCTTGAAGTCGTAACCTCTCCTGGGGTGATCTGTTAGACTGTCACTGTGTTCGAGGCTGTAGCGCTCGCTCTTTGAGCGGGATTAATCTTGCCTAATTTTACCTGTCTCTAGCCTAAAGGCATCTCCATATGATCTAGCCAGGCTCCCTTTGCAGTCAGTGAAGAGAAATAGATACTTCTGGAGCATGATTCATCTGTCCTGTTTTAGATGCTCGTGCTGGGATGATACAGTATGCCTCGGGAGCGCCTGTCTCTGCTGACTGCAAAGGGATTTAGAGGTGATACCCTCGGATACGGACGTCCGTGTTTCTGCAGTGGGAGCGCTGGATCCCACCTCTGTGTTAATAACTCAAGTGACAACTATCTAATGCCAAGGGACAAGGCTCGAGAGACCTGCGTGCTCTAGCTGGAGGCAAATTAAGTCCCCAGCAAGCTCAGGTCTAATTAGAGGCACTGCAACCGGTTACTGACTTTCCATGAACTTCAACGGGCTTTGGCTCAACACCAGCAGTGAGGACAAACTGCTGCCAGATCAGGGTTGACTTTGCCCATGCTCCTTCCTCGCTGAAGGTGAGCCAGCTCTTACTGTAGTGTTCCTCTAGGGTATCACCATGTCTAATTTTCAAGCCCAAGCAGGAAGCAGGTCTCTCTGCACTTCCAAGGATGCTTTCCTCCAGATGGCTGGTCCCAAAGAATATTTCTCCACTTGCTCTGAGCTACTGTGGCTACTCTGTTGGTTTTATGTGCAATAAGTGGCAGAGCTGCTGCCCGGTGGTCCCTGAAGTATGGCGAGGGCATGTCCCTTGTGTAGTGGTGCAGCAGATCCCTGCGGTGTATACCCACACGTGAAAGGCAATAGGAGGGCTGGGCTCTGCCTTGGTTTTTGAGATTTTTATTTTTATTTTTCCTGCTCTGAGTTTCTCTCTCAAGGCTGGACCTCTCCAGAGGTTGGCAGTGGGAGCCAGCCCTGAGCCATGGGCTGCTGCGTGTTATGCTCGAATCCTTTGGCTTCAGCAGGCGCGACTGCAGCTTTGTCCATTGGTGATTTAAACCTTCGGGGTGACATTTGTATGAGCAGAGCCAAAATTGTCATCTACCTTCCAGAAGAGACGTTACGTGTTGTCTGAAGGCAGTAACCTACAGGATACGTAGTGCTAAGGGAATGGAGCTCCCTGATGCCCCCATGGCAAGTCTTAGCACTGTGATGAGAACAAATTCCTCCTCTGAATGACAGCAAATGTTACGAAATCCTCTAACGTGGCATCGAGCTAAGTCAGGGCTCTCAACATCCTTCGTGCTGTGAACTAACACTTGAGAGCAAACGGTCGCTTGCCTGCTGCCTGCAAGATCTCGTGCTCCCCCAGCCAACACGATGGGGCTCAGCCTCGGGTGGGAAGCGGAAAATAGCATAAGCACAGGGTTGAAGAGCCGAGGTGGAACTGAATGCACTTTAATGGTGACCAGCAAATCACTTTGTTTTTTAATTTTTGGTTAGGTTCATTCCCCCACACCCCTTTGTTGTTGTTTTTTTTTTTTGCTCTGCGGTATGATACAGAACAGGAAGGAAAAAAATTCAAGATCCTGCTCTTTGGGGAGTTGTCTGTTTATAATTCTGATTTTTGTGTTTGAAGTATCAGAAATGTGAAATTGCCAAGAAGCTTAGGGAAGCTAGAGACTTTTGTTGTGGGATTCATCCCTGTGATTGATAGGATAAAGGTTTTGTATTGTATCTTTCAAGAAAAGCTTCCTCTGCCCAACATGCATGTGCTTACAGATAAATAGGTATTAGGAAAGTGCACCCTTTGATAACCTGGGGTGAAAACCTTTCCTCTTGGTTCAAATTCAAATCCCTTGTTAGGTTGCTTTTTTAACATTGCCTAAGCTGGTGAAATAATGAAATGGTAAAGTCCAAGTTTCCAATGTAAAAACAAAAGACTCCTCGGACAACTGAGAATAAAATTACAAGTTCCTATTTATGTCATCTTTATTTTTTCCCTCTCTTTTAAGTCATCTCTCTGGTAGGTTCTAAAGTTTGGTTATTTTTTTTTAATCTCTTTTAAGAGGTCCTGCTGATCAATGCATGCCTCCAGGAAGAACCTGCCAAGAGATTAAGCACCTCTTATTTGGTGGCAATAGCCAGACTCATTCAGTAGCAGTTTTCTGAAGACATCTGCTTCTTATGGCCATGTCTGGAGGGAGAGGTGTTCCAGGAAAGTCCTTTGAGAGCCAACGAGCTAGAAAACAACACCCGAGTCGTTCCCCGGTGTGCCGTGGTACTGAGGCAGGTGGCCGGATCATGCCGTGGCTGTTTATGACCTGATGGGTGTTTACTTGTGCGTTTCTGGGTTTCTAAACTGCAAGTGAAAACTGTGTTTGAGATTCTTTTTAATCTTTTATCCAACCTGTCTAACCCTCAGTTCTTTTAATCCTGCAAGGATTTCTCAGCTGATTGTGAAGCATCTTTTGAGCTATTATGTTTTACAGCTCAGAGTAAAGGCAAAGTAGATGCCAAATTAAACCGACGCGATGTTTTGGCTTCCCTTAACATCTCAGACTGAAATTTTTGTGGCAGTTAGCAGTTACTGCGTGAGTAGTGGCATCATCCTTGCTGCAGGTATAGTCTGGATAGCTGGGAATCACTGCAGCCGTCCCAAATTAAGAAGAAAATTAGCAGCTTTGGAGATAACATTGCCCTAACAGGGGTTGGAGGCTATGCTGGGGGTCAAATTTGGATTACAATCTCTCCTTTCCTGGTGAATTGCTGAGGGTACCTCCACTTACTAATACAAGAGGCTGTGGCAGGTCATCAGAGAGCCATCCCCAGCACTCCACTTCTGCAAACCCATTGCACTGTGTCGCCCTGCTTGACATGAGCTACAGAAGTGGATGGCTCAGGATCACCTGCAAGACATCCCAGAGGCCGTGGACGCGCTGTTCTGTATCCCATTGAACCGTACCCGTCTGTCATTGCACCATCGCATCGCAGGTATGGGTTGGGAAAGGCAGTTGTGGCTGCCCCCTGAGATTCTTCCTTCGGTTATTTTTGCACTGGTTGTGTTTTGTTTCTTACGTGTATAAGAAAGAAGGTCTCAAGAGGACCTTATCTGCTGGAAGTTTTATGCGTCCCACCTGGGTGATGTACCCTCTGGCCACGTAGGGTTGAATTCTCTCAGTTATGGCTTAAAAAACTTGGAGATCCCAAACACCCAATTCACGCTTAGTTTATAGGGTCTGGGTGCCTCTGCTGTTTCAGTGGCAGCCGAAGGACCCATGGGTTTGCAAAGAGTTTGGGAATTGCTGGGAATGAAAGAGACTGTCTAAATCCCAGGTATTAAGTGAAACGCCACAGCTGACTCTGCTTGGGTTACACCCTTTGCTTTATTTTTATGTCAGGTTCTGGCTATTATTTGACTTCCTTCACCCTTTAATCCAAATGTCAAATCAGGGTATGAATCCAAAGCAAACAAACCCAAACCCACCAGGCCAGTCCTGCTTTTATCCATCCCCTTCCCGGGCTCCCCAAACTGCAAACCCAGCTGAGCATTTCGGGCCCCCTCCCCTTTCCTGTGGGTTTCTCCACCGGCTTTGCTATGGGTCCAGCAGCACGGGGAGCGGTCTGAAATAACCCCACTGCTTCGGGGAAGCCCCGGTGAGAACAGGGCTTTGCTTTCATCCGTGAAAATCATCTTTTGGACAGTCAGCCTTGCTCCTGGGCGCTGCCGGTTACTGCTGGCCAGGCTTCTTAAGGTCGTTTTGCAAGCAGGGAGCTTGATCGTAGCAGCTTTTCTCCAACTATGTGAAGTTTGTCCAGAGAAAACAAGGTGTGACTGAAGCCGATGCCTTGGAAGAAAGCCTCGTGGCACTGAAGAATTAACTCCTTGTAATGCCAGCAGCCGTTGCTTTCCCCGGACGAGGCGGAGAGGAGCCACCCTTCCTCTCTGTGCATGAAGGAAGGATTTGTGCCGTTGGTTGCGGCTCCCCAAGTCTCAACGTAAAGAAACGGTGGCAAAGGAAGACATCAAAGACAAACAGGGTTGGTGTTTTTATTTTTTAATATCTTCAGGGGACTTTGTACAAGAGAGCAAATCCCAAGAGCTGCCCTAACCTTAGCAGCAGCAAACAAAGACCTCAGTGTCCTCTGGAAGGTGGCACCTGAAGATGAGTAATGCAGTGGTTGCATCACGTTTAGAGCAAGCATGAGCATGAAGTATCTGTTCTACCTCTTGGTTTAAAAAAAAAAAAAAACAACCACCAAACACTGAAGACCTTGAGTATTTACCTGAGCTTTCACACACCCTGTTCATCACTTCCCTCCTTTCTTAGGGGAACAAGCGATCTCGCAGGCACTTGCAAGAAGACGGTGCCTGTCCCGCACGCTTGAGCGGGAGCCAGTGTAAACTGAGTTGGGGGGGTCTCTGCTGACTTGCGCTTGCTTGAGGTCCAGCCTTGGGCAGCTCAGAGGCTGGTGAATGTCCTGTTCCCTGGCCTGGGGGCGGCCAGAGCACCGGTTGTTTTGAAATCAGGGTTTTTAAAGCCAAGGTTGTTATTTTCAAATGTAAAGCCAGCACCTAAATCCATAGCAAGGTAGCGAAGCATAAGGGAGGAAAAAAAAACCCTACTGATTTCTTAGGATCTCTGGAAACCTTGACTACTTCTATGTGGCACCTTTTAGTGCTGTTAGTTAATCCCAGGCTCTCCTCCCTGCATGCCACCGGGGACAAAAACCTCATGTGTCCTGCAAAAAAACCCCAAACTCACTTTTCCACCCAACAGCGTAGATGCAGCTTGTGCTTTGGTAGGTGCCCTATAACTGTGATACCCTGATGCTTCTCTGGGTTTAGGCGCCGAGACA